GTGTTGGCATTGATACGATTTTAATACAAGAAAAGAAGCCTTTAGCAAATAATCTAGATTTTGCTAATGTGTTTAATGCATGTGAGAATACTACTTTTGAAAATTTGTATAGGCATAAGGGTTATTTACTTCGTTAAAATAGGTTGTGTATACCTATGAGCTCTTTAAGAGAGTTAGTTGTGTGTGAGGCACATAGGGGAGGCTTAATGGGGCATTTTGGTGTCTTAAAAACTTTAGCTATTCTAAATGAACACTTCTTTTGGCCTTACATGAAAAGGGATGTAGAAAGGATTTGTGAGAAGTGTGTGATGTGTAGGCAAGCTAAATCTAAAGTTAAACCCCATAGCTTGTACACACCATCACCTATTCCTAGTTCACCTTAGGTTGACATTTCCATGGATTTTGTGTTGGGACTACCACGGACTAAAAAAGGGAGGGATTTCGCTTTTGTTGTTGTTGAAAGGTTTTCAAATATGGCACACTTCATAGCTTGTCATAAGATGGATTATGCCAACAACATTGTGGACTTGTTCTTTTGAGAGATAATATGTTTGCACAAAATGCCAAGGAGTATCGTTTTTGATCATGATGCCAAGTTTTTAAGCTACTTTTGAGAGAATTTGTGGGATAATTTGGGAACTAAGTTATTGTTTTTTACTACTTTTCATCCACAAACGAGATAGCCAAACTAAGGTAGTGAATCAAACTCTTTCTACTTTATTATGTGTTATTCTAAAAAGGAACATTAAGAATTGGGAAGAGTGTTTACCACATGTTGAATTTGCATATAATAGGACTATGCATACTACTACTGGTTATTTACCATTCGAGATAGTTTATGGTTTTAATCCTTTAACTCTATTAGATTTGATGCTTTTTCCTATTAATAAATATTCTAGCTTAGATGGTGAGAAAAAAGCAAAATTGGTGAATTCCTTGCATGAGAAGGTGCGGCAACACAATGAAAAGAAGAATGACCAATATGCAACAAATGCCAATGAGGGGAGAAAGAAAGTTATCTTTGAACCGGGTGATTGGGTTTGGGTGCATATGCACAAGGAGCGTTTTCCATCTCAACGGCATTCTAAGTTGTTACCATGTGGTGATGGCTCCTTTCAAGAGGTTGTAAGAGTCAATGACAATGCTTATAAGCTTGATTTACCGAGTGAGTATGGCATTAGTGCTACTTTCAATGTTTCGATCTCTCTCCTTTTGATGTAGATGTTGATGAAGAAGATTCGAGGACGAATCCTTTTAAAGAGGGAGGGAATGTTGGAAACCATAGAGCTAAATGGACCGGTAAGGTGGTGTCTCTAAGAGAGGTCCAAGATGGCGAGTTTACAAGTCCAAGAACCGATCCATTACACATTAAAGAAGGTCCAATGACGTGGGCTAGGGCTAAGAAGCTTAAAAAGCTCTCAATGGGTTGATTCAAGAGTGTTGGGTAGAATGCACTTCCAAGGGCCCAAAGGAGCATTGTGGTGCCATCTTAAGAGGATGGAGATCCAAGACTTGTCAATCTGATCTAAGTCTAAGATTGGGCTCCTTAAATCATATTGTGCCTATTTTGTTATATCTAGCTTAATTATAATTAGAACTAATTAATTAAGTTAGATTTGGGCTTAATGTTTTAAGCCTAAATTAATTATAATTAGAATTAGTTAATTAAGTCGATTTGGGCTCAAAGTTTTAAGTCCCATTATTTTCGTATTCTTTTAAGTTTATTAGGGTTTGTTTATGTTCTCATTGGGTGGCAAGAATGTGTAAAGTCCTTTTAGGGTTAGAAGAGGTGTGTTTAGCCTATTTAAAGGTCTGGTTTAGTTTTGTTTCAAACTTAGACGAGTAATTTTGAGAGTTAATAAATTTGAAAGGATTTTCTTCCTTTGTTCTTTTGAGAACTAAATCGACTTATCAAGGATTGCAACCCTTGTGGCATCTCCGAACTTATCATCCTCTATAGGGTGTGGCGTTCTTTAATCCATTGCACACATAGCTTCGGTTCTAGCCTCCTTATAGGCAATGGGTCGGGTTCCGCTTACTATAACTCTGATTAGGAGCGTTCTTTGAGTTATCTAGCGATAAAGGTGTTTGGGTCTTTCATCTTTATACGTGGGGTTCACATCAAGTGTCTAACCATATTGAAACCAGGCACCATAGGCCGGAGATTTGACTCGGCGAGAGAAGTGGTGGGATTAATGATCTCCATGGCAGGTAGAGGCTCCTTACCATTAGTGAGACCAGTGAACTTGTTGGTCTTTAAAAGAGGAACAGATTGTGTTTTTCAGATAAGATAGTTTGTAGGATTGAGCTTAATTGAGAAGGTGTGATTGGGAGTAGAAACAGTAGGATTGGAGGCAACTATTGTCATGGCAGTTGTTAGAGCAGAAGAGGTGGTGGTCATGTAAACTCTGACAGCAAGTTGAAGATTTAAGAAGAAAGAATAGTTTGAATAAAAATTCGTTTGTTTTTCTACTGATCTGACACAACACAGTAAATAAATACACAGATAAGGGATCAAGAAGAGTTTGAATTTAAATAAACTGTCTACTCTTATCTAACCTAGCTGGCTAGATAATAGAAGTATATTTTGAATTCTAATCCGAACTGGCTTAAATAATGAACCAACAAAACTAAGCTGATCCTTGGCTAACTATAATCAAAATCCATTATAACAGGTCCTAATGGAAAACCAGAAACAACTAGAGGAAAAAAGAAATTAAGAAAGAAATTCCACTATTGAAATGAAGCTTGCAAAAAAACAAAAAGTGATATCATATCCTTTGTAAAGGCAGGTTTGATAGCCTGATTCCGCTCTTGTACTTGGATATCACTCTGTTGTAGAAAGCAAGGCAGATGTCACCATATCTAAAAGCATGAAATTTTCTACCTTGCAATTCCTTCTGTCGGAAAAATCATCTTCCTCCATTGCCAAGTGATGATAGGCTACCGTGCCTCTAATGATGTCAGACTAATCTCATTTGCTGAACAAGCTTCATTCTTATTTGATGAAGTGTCAGGTTCACGTGGATTTTTTCCCATAAAAAAACCAGGCTGCTTAGGCTGAGGCAATGGATTCTCACTGCCTAACATGACAACCACAGTCGACATGTTTGGCCTATCTTCTGGTCGTTGTTGCCCACATAATAAAGCCACATGAATGCACCTTAAGAGTTCAACTGGGTTGCGCGAATCAGTCAAACATTCATCAATCAGGTCCAATGGTGTTCCTTTTGTCCAAAGCATCCATGCCTTACAAAACAAGACATTATATTAGTGGATTGATCATTCTGATTTGCATGCAAGTTTAGCTAGTACTGTGAAAACAACATTAATACTACTGACGTAACTGAAAGTCAAAGGAAACAAATAAATCTTTTGTTCAGTTAAACTATAGAAGGCTTAGAAGCATCCTGATATAGTAGGCTATGGCATTTCGTTACATGTGCCTCTTTGCAAAGTTTATTATTATCACTCTTCATTAATATAAATTAATGTGATTATACAAAAGCTTACATGCCCGAGAAGGTTAAGGGTCTGGTCTGGTTGACAAAATCCCCTGTTCTTCTTTCCACTCACAATCTCCAGGACTAGGACACCGAAGCTGAAGACGTCCGATTTCACGGAGAAGTGTCCATCTAATGCATACTCAGGAGACATATATCCACTGCAAAAAGATATATACAAGGTAAGTTCTGTAACCACGCAAATGTGATGCAACGAGGCAAGTTTAACAATACTTACTATGTTCCAACTACCCTCTTAGTATTGGCCTCAACTTGATCTCCACCAAACATTCTAGCAAGGCCAAAGTCTGAAATCTTTGGGTTTAGCTCATTATCGAGTAAAATGTTGCTGGCTTTGATATCTCTATGGACGATTCTCAGTCTAGAGTCTTGATGAAGATAAAGAAGCCCTCGAGCTATACCATCAATGATATGGACACGCTTTCCCCAAGTCAGTAATTTGCTTCTGGCTGAGTCTGCCCAATTTCTCTACTACGTTAGTCCAACACCACTCTAGTTATAGCAACATTAATTGATTAACGAAAGATGATAAACAAATTGCTATTGATCAGTATAGGTTCAAACCAAAAATAATGGAGTCCAAGCTCTTGTTGGGCATAAATTCATAGATTAACATTTGTTCATCTTTATGGATGCAATAACCAAGAAGCTTCACAAGGTTGCGGTGTTGAAGTTTAGCGATTAACGTAACTTCATTCTTGAACTCGTTCACTCCTTGCCTGGAGCTTTTTGAGAGCCTTTTCACTGCTATTTCTTGTCCATCTATCAGTGTACCCTAAATCACAAATAATTATCAGTGCTTAGTTTTACGTTAACATATGGTTAATTTGCACAAGTAGCTAACTTTTATTCACCTTGTATACAGGTCCAAAACCTCCTTCTCCCAGCTTGCTGCTGCTCGAGAAGTTATTAGTAGCATGTGCTATTGTCCTCAAATCATATATTGGTAACTCCATGTCTTCTTTCCTGTCTTCGGAGTTGTCACTCTTTCTAAGATTTGTTTTCCTTGTGTAAAAGACAATTCCTAGTATTAGCAAACCTATGACCAATATAACAGAGCTGGAGATTATTCCTTCTTGCTTCTTCTTTGCGATGGATCTTTTTTTCTCAATTTTAACTGAAAGCAAAAACAGAATTGTTAGTGGATACATTCACTAGTTCTATCAGTTCTCAGAAGTTGAAAAAAATCTTGTATTTTTATTTTATTACTGAGAGGAATTCTTGAAATGGATAGGAAATTTGAAATTTTAAAGTAACTAAGTTCAGCAGGGAAGATGGGGTAGAAGACTGACACTTCCTACTTTCTATTTTTAATTAATGAAAAGATTAACGCATCAAAAAATAAATAAAAATCAACCAGAAGGTTCTAACCCTGCTATAGATCTTATATGAAGTAAGAAACTAGAAACAGCAACGACGGTAGGTGCTGTCATTCATCAATATATGGCTTAAGAAAATTGATTAGAGACTATTAAATCAGTATTCAGTTGCACTACTGGAGGGCATATCTAATTCTGAAGCAGCTATCTTAACATAGAGGTCTTGTCCATCCCCAATTGGTGTAGTTCTTGCGTCAATCAGGTGACCAAACCAAATCAGGCAACCGCTTCCACCTCCCCTGATATCTAAATTTGCATAAGCAGTGCAAGAGCAGTTCTTCAAACAGAGTGTCTTACATTCCTTTAGACCAATGCTCTTGTCAAACCAGGAAGAAGATGTGTCTGGCAGTTTGAACCTTGAATACGTCAGAAAACCATCTTTATCACTGCAATCTAGCGAAGTCCTTCGGTTACACCCTTCTGACCAAACTGACAAATTCCAATCTCCAGGAGACTTGGGCTTGTAGCCGTACAAGCATCCACATGGTGGAGAACTAGAAGCGTCACAGCGAGCATTTGGACCACACGCGGCATAATTTTCACACAGGTCGAACTGGCCAACACCAGAACTTTCCCAATCCTGCTTTTGATCACTCCAATCGAAGCGTTGTGGAATGCCCACGGGAGTTAGTGTATGCCTTGCAAGAACTGAGGTTTTTTGCTCATAACTAAAATAAACCTCATTGCTTTGGAACACAAATTCCAACGTGAAAAGTGAATCAGACCTTAAGCTAGGAGCCCCATTAAAATATAGGCCATTCCATGAGCCAGCTCTAAACTGTGTTCTGTTATCCTTCTTCAGAAGTAGCTGTGGATACCCATGATGATCTATATGTAAGGAAAATTCACCTCGAGCAGGATCTTCTGCGCTCTTCCAAGATGACAGAAATCTATCTAGCCGTGTTACAAAGTTGAATCCCACTTTCATTCCTGGAAGTTGAGTATCACAAGGATAATCGAAACTCTGCCATAGAAAGTTCTCAGGGTTGTTATCATTTCCTTCTCTTACAACAAGATTTCCTGAATCCAAAAGCTGTGCAACAGGATGCTGTGCACTTCTTGATGTATTTGATGACCAAACAACATTGCTTTTGCTATCAAGAACGACTAGAATTCCTTGGTTAGTGATATTTAGAGTTCCCAACTTATTGGAAAGTGGAACTTCTCTGTTGGCTACCCATACAACTGTCTTTGGAGATTTCATGTACCATAATCCAACATAGCTGTTTCTGGAATTCTGAGGACTGAAAAATCCGAGTCCAAAGCTGCCACTTGCCGAAACTAGTGTTTCACCATCTGTTATGGATTTGCTTGGTTGAATGACATCAAGTGTAGTCGAGGTTCTTAAGATGGCGAATAGAAAGAAGAACGCAAAGAGCATCCCATAGTTTCCCATTGTATTTGTTTTCACTAAAATCCAGGAATATGGTATGTGAAAGAAATAGGAAACAGTTCAAAGCGAAGTGTAACCAAATAATTTTCATATTAGCCAAGATGGTTGACTTGAGAGTAAAAGTTATAATTATTTAAACAAATGATCTCGAGTTTGAACTTTTGTATACGTAAAAAAAATTTTAAGTAGCTTTCTTCTTCTTATGCGTCGAATAAAACAGTTAGGAATTAATCTAATTCTTTGGATCTCAAATATTTTAAAGATTAAAAAAAAAATAGTTCTTTTTATTATTTTCAAAGTAAAACAAAATACCGAGATGATTAATATTATATTTTCTAGACCAAGGCACTTGTTGATATAATAAATCAACTTTGCTTTCATTTTTTTTTTTTTTTTTTTTTTGACATTGTAAGAGACAAACTTTAACTAATATGACAGTTAATTGTTTATAAAATATCCTAAACTTTTGGTCGGTAGAATAAAAAAAATTTTAATCTTTTTTATTCGATATGAATATCGAATCTTTTTTTTTATGCAATTTATTTCGTTTCATTGATTAATCTCGGATGATATTAGAAGCATGTGAGAGCACATATCTTGTTGTTTTAATGGCTCATGTGTCGAAAAGTGTCTATGTTAGAATATGTTTTATTGTTTTAGTGACTCACGTGTCTTTAATTTGCATCCAATGTCGTCCGAGATTAGTCAATAAGAAAAAGTGATTTAATTACATACCAAAAAAAGGTTTGAGATCCAGATCAAAAATAAATAAATAAAAACTTTGGGACATTTTTTACGTTGATAAAAAATTCAAGATACTTTATAACCAATTCACCTAATATATATGAAAACTAGTTCTTTATGAATAACAAGTTAGTTTTCTTGGTAAGTAAACTAGTTAAGGATGGAAAATTATGAGGAGAGGATAATAACATTTTCATAGCTAGCTTTTATAATGAAAGAGGAGACTTACCCAAATATAAATGAATGAGATAAAGCGATTTTAAGTGTCCGAACTTATCCGATTTTCACAATTGAGTCTCCGATCTTTAATTTTTTTTCAAAAAGATGTCCAATCATTTTATTTTGCACAATAAAGTATCTAAATGGATGTATGTTAGCCCAATAGTAATGTATTCATTAAATGATGAATGAACAATAACACCAAAAATAATATTTAGAGGTGACTTTATTAAGGAGATGTTATGTCGGCAAGTAAATGGAAGGAAAAATCCAAAAATTTAACTGAAAATTAGAAAAGTTTTTATAAAAGAAATGGTAACAACAATAGAATTAGAGAGAAATATAATGAAGAAATTATTTCACTATGAAAATAAGAAGAATGCAAGAGATAACAACTCCAAATACTATCTCATTCTCTACAAAATCCTTGTACATCAACTAATGAACAATTAAGTCTATTTATAAGCTTCAAGATTAGGAAGAGAATTTGAAAGGATTATGAACCATTAAAAGATACATAAATAATTGAATAAATTTCATCATTCTTTCAATTTCTCATATTGAATGGTGAATTGAATCATATGAGTAGTGAAGATTATGAAATGATCATGGACATTTATTATTTCATAACACTTCCCCTTGAATGACCATTGTACAACATGCCTCGTTAAAACTTACTAGAAAAAAACCCAACGGAAAAAAATCCTAGTGAAAAAAATAGTATAATATTCTTTGTATACATTAATCTCAATGTTGGGCTCCCCTATTGAAAACATCATTTGAAATCTCTAAGACGATGCATTTCAATTTTGTGAATCATCTTCTCAAAAGTTATGGTAGGTAATACCTTAGTAAACAAATCTATTGGATTATCACTTTGATGTATTCTTCCTTTAATAAAATAAAGCAAACAGCATTATCTTCATATAATATTATTGAAACTTCTTTTGTTGATAGATAAACTGCATGTCTCTCGAATATGATAGATCGTTGATCTTAGTCAAACACATTTTTGACTTGCATCATGAATTGGTATTTTTGCATGGTTTGAATATTTAGTGGTTATAGTTTGCTTTATAGAACATCTTGATATAGTTGTATCACCATACATAAATACATAACCTAGTTATGATTGAGTTTTGTATTGATCGGATAAATAACTCGCATCCGCATAACCAATTAAACCTAACTTTGATTCATTTGAGTAAAATAAATACCATATCAATTTTTCCTTTACGATAACATAGGAAATTTTTAATTCCATTCCAATCTCCATATTATAGTAGAATTATGACTTAATAATAAATTCATAGAAAAGACTATATCGAGTCATGTATTAGCAAGACATATCAATACACCGAGTGGCACTTAGATATGATACTTCGGGACCAAATAATTTTTCGTTATCTTTTCAATGTCGAAAAGGGTATTTTTGGATATCAAGTGAATGAACTATTATTGGGCTAGTTAATAGATAATCTTTATATAGAATAATTGTAGAACTTTTCTATAAATTGACTAATGAATAAAAATATCATTGTCTAAGTGCTCGAACTACGAGTCAAGATAAAATTTTGTTGCCTAAGGTATTCTTATCAAATTCTCCTTTTAGCTAACTTATAGCATTTGAAAACTCTTTAGGAGTTCCAATAATATTTAAATCATCATCATATATAGCAACTATCACAAACCCTTTTTAGAATTTCTTTATAAAAAATACATGAATAAGTATGGTTATTTTTTAACCTTCTTTCAATAAATATTTATCGAAATAATTATACCACGTGCACACGAGTTAGTAATAAAAAGTAGATATTAAAAAATAAAAAATTAAATATAAAAAGTATAGCATAAATTGAATTTTAAAAAACTAAAATAATAAAACTAATAATAAAATAATTCGATAGAGATCTTTATAATTTAATTGAATTCATTGCTCAAGAATATGTATTACATGCTTCGGGCATCTTAAGTTCTTCTAGGATTTTCATATGGATATCATTTCAAATGAACAAATAAACTATGATCACATTTATTAAATACATGCATATGAATTTTTTCATATACTTTGCCTGGCTAATGAGATAATAAAATATAATTTCATTCATTATAGGAGAATATGCCTCCTCATAGTCAATGTCGGTTCTTTGCAAAAACTCTTGTATTAAAAGTTTTGTGTTGTATCTTACAATCTCATCTTTCTTATTTTACTTGTCGCATAAGTACATATTTGTATCCCACTAGCTTAAAATCTTCGGATGTTTTAGCTATGGGTTCAAAAAAGCTACTCTTTTATAAAAAAAACATAATTACGCCAGATTGCTCTTTTCATTTAGGTCAATTATCTTTATGTCAACATTCTTCAATAAATTTAGGCTCAAGATCCTTATTTTCATTCAAGATATCAATTGAAACATTATATGCAAAAATTTTATCAATAAATATTTATTTTTGGTCCTATTTTCTCTCCGTATTGACATAATTTATCAAAGTCTCTTGATTTTTCTCAAGCATTTAGACTTCTTCTAGAAGCCTATTACTAGAAACACCTTAGACCATTTTATGAATATGTAAATCTTTTATTTTAATCATTTGCTCTTTTTTTTTTTTAAGGATTTTTGCTTTTAAAACCGATCGGTCTTTCACCCTTCGGGTGTGCTTTAGATTCATTTGCTATAATATTAATAGATTATCCTTCCGGGATATCAATTCTAATAGGAGTATTTTCGGTGGTGACACGTATTTTAGTTACTCATTTAAAATTTGAGAACGTATCTAGTAGTTGGTTTGTAATACGTTATAAATGAATTATCTTTTAAACTTTTAGTTCACGTTATTTTGTATAAGGATCAAGATGATATAAGATAGAGTACTCCATGTAATTTTTTTCATAAATCAAGCTATAAAAATATTTCTTATTCATGGTGAAAGATATTGAATTATCGAAGAAGATTCAAGTCCAACATATATCCTCAATCTCCTTTAAGTGCCCATTTTAATTCGTTATGAAGAGCACTACGAATATATAATGCAATGCCAAAAATTCTTAAATAAGAAATATTTAGCTCATGATCGTAAATCAATTAAAAGTAGGAGAATTTCTAATAGCTTATCGGTTTGATGCGAATAAGTGTTATTGCATGTAAGATTACAAGTCCCCAAATATAAATAGAGAGTTTTATTTTAAATAAATTTTTAGCGATCAATTAAAGCCTTTTGATAAATGATTTTGTTAAACTTTTCTAAATATGAACATAAGCAACAAGATGTTCAACCTTTATTCTAATAGCCGATCAATAATAATTTAATGCTTGAGAAATAAATTCATCGAGCATTATCAAGGTGACTTATTTTAATGGCATAATCTGAAAATTATGCTCGAAATCAAATTATTTGCTAATAATCTCAAAAACGTAAGGTTTCGAGTAGATAATAAGCATATATGTGACCATTTTATAGATGCATTTATTAAAATCATAAAATATTTAAATGGTCTACATGGTGGATGAATTGATCCATATATATCACTTTGAATACATTATAAAAACACCGGAGATTCAATCTCAATTTTACTTGGTGATGGCTTAATCATCAATTTACCTTGACAACATACAAAACATGAAATTCATTAAATTGAAGAATCTTCTAGCCCTTCGATAGATGTCCATATGAATTTTTAATAATTTTTTTGCATCAAGAAAGACCTAGGATAACACAACTAGTCATGCCATATAATAAAAGTATTTGAATTAGTAAATTTTTGATTTACTATAGTATCCGTTTCAATCATTCAAATATTTGTAATAAATACTAGAAGAGAAAGCGGATAAATTTTTCAATACATATTTTCTACCCGATATAATGATTATAATATATAAGTCTTCACATTTGCTATCTTGATATGATATCAATGTAGATGAATATATTTAAAACTTAATAAATTTCTATGAAACTTTGAAGAGATCAGTACATCATTTATAATAAAATTTATCCTTTTAGATAATAACATATTTGCTCTTTTAGAGCCTTTAAATTATGTCGCTGCGACTAATAATATATTTGCTCTTCTAGAGCCTTTAAAAGTTGTTTCTTTAAGTAATAATATATTCGCTCTTCTAGAGTATCAAAAATTTATCTCTTCGAGCAATAATATATTCGCTTTTTTAAAGTCTTCAAAGTTTGCCTCTTTAGGTAATAATATATTCGCTCTTCCGGAGCTTTCTATTAGATTGATATTATTATGTATAATATTAACATAGAATAAATAAATACAAAATAAATAAATATATATATTCTTCATAAACATAAATAAATAGTAAACTAAATTCATATTTATTTCTATGCTACAAAAATTATAAAAAAATATAAAACATCTTATTTATAAATAAAAAAGCTAACAAGTTATTAATTTCAATCAC